TCTCTTAATGGTGAGATTGAAATCTCTAATTTTCCTAAGTGCTTATGCACTCCATAAAAGGAACTTATCATTGTATGTGTACAGTCCTTTTTTCATTTCACTACTGGATGACTTCCCCATTGTGTGGATTGCGAGAGTTATTTCACCATACTTCAGTGTCAGTTTGTGAAGACAAAGTGCATAGACACGGAGGCATAAAAGTCCAGCGTAACAATAGATTTTGCAGCATCGCCTTCTGTTAACCACAACCCAGCAGTCTATAAGACTTGTTATGCACAGTAGTCACCCATCCAAGCCCTACCCAGGCTCAACCCAGCTTACCTCCCCAGACCTGACGAGGTCGACTGACCCCACGGAGTGAAAGTCCAGAAGGTGCTGCGCAATGACCATGATTGCCTCGTGCTCCCACCTGCAGACGCGTACGGCAGTGGAGGAGGCGGTGACGAGACCGAGGTGGAGGTCGTGAGCCTCATGGAGGAGCGGCTGCCGCTGTTTCGGCTGCGTGCCGACTCGGTGCTGGGCTACGACCGTGACGACTGGATCCGCACTCCAGTGCTGCCCCCGGATGCCGACCTCGAGCTGGGCCTGGAGCTCGTGGAGGAGACGCTCAAGTACATGCGTGAGTGCACGCGCGCCCGGCCTGCACATCGCTTTCTCCATTGATAAACTGGTTTAAACAATTAAACTAAACATTTTTGTATCTTACCAGGTAAGGCCCACTGGAGTTGTATAGCTCTTTTTTCAGAAGCGACCTGGCCACAAATGATAGCTCAACGAAGTGGCTCATCACGTGGAGATTAAGATCAGCCAAATACTCTAAACGCATGTTGTTAAATGTGGAGGGAGAAACCAGAGGATCCGTAGAAAAATCAACGCGACCACGGGCAGAAGATACAAACTCCAAATATACAGGCATCAGGGTAGGGATCGAACTCACGACTCCCTTTATACCAGGCAAGGTAGTTAACACGTCGCCACCATGGCGACCCTTATTAATATTAGCCACCTGAGCAATTAATATACTCAGAAACACTGTGCATCCTATTTATGTTTCAAGTCATTATTCATTATTTAACGTACGGGATTGTGGAGGGTTGCAAAAGCCTTGCTGTACTGGTGTAATGTTGACACTGACAGGGTTGTCAATCTTCTTGGTTCTTTCGGTAAAGTCACGTAGAAGGAAAATAATAAAATAATAAAATAAAACATAATAAAATAATTCTCACGACGTTTCGGCTACAACGCAAGCAGCCGTGCTCAGATGAAGAATGAAACGCCACCAAGCTTGGAGCGTATATTTAAGCTGGGTTGGAGGGGGAAGAAGAGCGCCTTGACAAAATAATTTGTATATCAAGAGGGATTTAGCATATTTATGGGAAATGCGTAGGAGGTGGGCGGGGGGTTGTCAATCATTGGGATTCTGTACAAGGCATTCTGTACATGATGTATATCTTGTTTATTGTTGCTGTTCTGGAAAATCCACATTCATCTTGCTGACTATAATTGGTTGATAGGTCCATGCCTTATTATGTTGCTGTACTCTTTACAAGGTTGGGTAGCTGACGCCTGTAAGCTGTTGAATGTGTGCATGTTCATATGGTTGGGGAGCGGAGGTGTAGTGGTTTTCACACTACGCTACGGATCTCAGAAACCTGATAAAAATTATTGGACTAATAAAATTGGAAACTGTTGTCTAAACCTGTCGTGGGCCTCCCTAAGTTGACTCAGACTGAAATGAGTACCTCGTTTGGAAACTCACCACAGACAGACAAACGCAGAAGGCCATGGTGCTGACCACATCACACTTCTTTTTTGAGCTGTACACCAGCTTTCATAGATGGTTGCAAACAAGACTTCTCCTACAACATGAACTCTAGTTTTTGTGTGTGCATCATGTGTGATTTTTTTGGGCAGAGAGCCAATGTTTTAAAGCACCTTATGAAAACATAATAGTTTGTTAAACACATAATATGTCCTCATATTAGTATGCAGCGCTATACAAGACAATTCATCTCTATCTTCAGCTATAGATAATACACATCAAATTTCACAATTTTGCAATTGTTTTTTCTTCCGGCACCTCTTATTTGTCACGTGACCAGAATAATCCTTACAACGAGGAGTTGTTGAGCCTATGATATGAAGAGTTTATTTGCTTAGTCTGAATCCAGACTCCAGTTTAAGGCTCTTAAACCATGGATTCTTTATTCACTCATAACTTTGTTGCTTCACCCCACATACAGTAAACAATGAATGGATGTATTTTATCAAGTCACTTGGTAAATTACCTATGGTGGGTTGAAGTGTGGGTACCCTAAGTGAAGTTGGTTTCAGACAGCTGTTGCTGCTGTGCTGGTATCTTTAAACACACTGTGCCCACACTCCTGGGGTTGCAATGCTGAAAGAGCGCAAGGCATATAACGGGTTCACCACAGAGTGATAGATAAGACACTTGCAATTAAGTTACTGCAGAAGTCATGCTGTGATGTGAAAGTCTGATGTAGTACAATATTCCACTGCTCATTGTTGGTGTTCTGGATTGACATTTCTTTATCTCATTCATTGACATTGCCAGCACAATTCGGAATTTAGTTGGGATTTTAAAAAAATTCTTAAACTGCGTTCCTCCCTATGTGCTCATTACCATTGAGAACACTCACGGCACGCGAAGTGATTGTGAGTTTCCCCCAATCACTGCCGTTGGTCCAAAGCCTTCCAAGCTGAGAAACGCTAATTTGCATGCCAGGCCACATGGAAGCACACACACACTTGCAAAATAATTTATTTTGTTTTCATGTTAGTTGCCTTTCTGTCCACAAACTGCAAGGCCAGGCCGGGGTTAATCTGACGATAGTAGTGGGGCTGATGATGTAACTTGCAAGTGCGCCTTGGCCGAAAACGTATTTACAAGTTCGGTTCTCTCGCTGCTGAATCGGCACGTCTGAATGGTCGTCATTGTGTGAAGTTGATTGAAAATATTTCAGTGCAGAATCACTGTATGTGCTTGTGTAATTATTCACAAAAAGGGAGGAAGGTACCCCTCATAGTTTAGAACATGATCTCCTGCTGTCTGCGCTCTCATCCAAGCATCCAAGGCAAAACCAAATTGCCAAATCAAGATTAAAACTACATTTCTTCGGAGTGTCGACTGCGTATGTTAAATAAAATACTGTACACCGAATAATATTGCTAGGTATTATGCTATGTATCCTTCCAAGGCCAGGCGAGGCAGAGCCGAGCATGAAGGCCGTCCAACAGTTTTGATGGCATATGGAAAGTTGTGTCCTGCAGAACTCACAAAAGGTCCCTTCACAGTTACGCGAATCGTACAGCCAACATGACCAAGAGAAGCAGCTTTGCGAAAAATGCATTCATTGTTTGGAGGAAGAGTTTGAACCACCGTCATTTGCATGCAAATAACTGCTCAGCCACCCCCAGAGTCATTGATTCCACTTGGCTGGTTTTGTAGTGCCGAGCACATTGTTAGTCTTGATTGGATTGTAAGGAACTGGCCCGGTTTATCCATAGGACAATCACCATTAACTTCCCATAAAGTGGCATTCAATGTATTCACCCTATATGGATGATGGGCTGAATACCCCTTTAGTCAGGAATACATTCTCAAGTTTAAGGTTGTGGGGCCAAACTCTAAATACGTCACTTTAATACGTTAAACTCACATTTTTTAAAAATTCCTTAACAGTTATTATTTATCCCGGAAAGTGTCATGGAGTCCCACGACCCATTTTCAGGGGTGCTTGCTTGGGTTGTTTGGCCCACGCTTTACTGGAGCATTTTTGTTTATCGGAGGAGACTGAAATATCTGACGAAGACCCATAAATTTAGGAGCACTTAGACTCCAAACAGACGCTGTGGAAGGTGGAGTTTGTGTTTGTAGGCAAACGACTGCTCATGATTTGTCTATAAGGCACCTTTTATGAAGTCACTATGCGGGGATAAATCCTGAATGAGAAATCAGAAACGGTGCACGCTGGCTCGGCTTCTATCGTTGTGTGGTCTCTAGAAGGGCATCCAAGCTCCAGCGAGCGCGGGGCGTTGCCCATCTCTCTGTTTGCAGCCCTGAGACGATGGTGGAAATTCCTAATTCCCATGGTCGAGGCCATTTTAACACAGCGCAACAATGTGACATGTCAACCCCTGAAGGATGTGGTGGATGGACAGTAGGCTCCCGAACTGGGATTTAGGCTGCCTACCTCAATAAGCCACCAGTAGCACTTTTGTATTGCAGTTGTAAACCTACCTGTCGTAATTTTGCTTGTATATCTTGGCAGAGGTTGTAAATAATTTGTGTAAATTTCATAACCTGCATTAAGTAAAACAAAAACACCTAAATACTAGTGAAAGTCAAATTCTTACACATTTTATCAACCTCGGACAAATAATGATGATGAGCTAAATCAACTCCCAACCAGGTTGTAAACTTTAAACTTTTCAGCTACAGTGCCATGTGGCCGAATAATTGAGTTTTTGAAATGGACACGCGTGTTCATTAATTCACACCCTGCTCCATTTGAAGCCCGGTATCTTATGCACTGTCGTGTTGTTTGTCGAGCTATTGGCATGGTAAGCAGAGTCATAGCACCAGAGGAGCTGCACATTGTGAGTGAGGACACGCCTTTGTTACGCGAAACATGACCTGCATACAACAGTGGTTCGCGCTGTTAGTTTTCCCCCACACTCGTTAAATCGTTATTTTTCAACCACGATATGCTACGTATATATAGCGTATAAAGTAAATACAGTGAGTTTATGGCCTTCTGTCACTCCCCTGCTGGGCCAAGGTTGCAATGCGTAGGTGTAACTTTAACTGCAGTGCAATCAATCTCAATGATAAATAAAATTCTCAATATGACAATCAAAGCATCTGCTTCGTTAAATGAGCATGAAGCGGGGTTCTTCTTCATTGGCAGCCTTGAGCCAGTGGTGGAAATTCCACATCATAGTGGGTGCCGCTCTCACCATATGACAACCACTGTTGATCTCTCACAAGTGGATTTTTATTCACATTTTCATCGTTGCGATTCGAGCGCTCTCTAACCACTGCATCGTCCAGCTAGATAAACACATTCGTCTTAAATAATGTCGATTTTATTGTAATGCGAGATCTCTAATTCATGGCATGTGACCAAAACTTTCTAATGTGTTTAGTTGGGCAACATTGACTGTGGTACAACCCAAGTCTCCCCCTTTTTTGAGAAGCTTGATTGGACTGTGCCAGGTGTCCATGCCGCATAAATGTTTTGCTTGGGGCTTGAGTACAGAGGCGGAGGAGTTGTGCGAGTCAGGGCGAGGCACTGCACCTCCACACACTGTTTGCTTCTTATGTGTCCAATAAGTGAGAAAACTAGGTGCACTCGGGTTAACATTTAACCTGCGCTCGGGCAGCCACTGCAATTTTCTTGCGTGTGCGCATCTAGAATACGTTTAATTAAAGTTCGGTCTGCGTTGAACTTAAAATTCGTTTATGGATAAACCACTTGTTACTCTGTTATTCCTGCGAGTGGGTGTCGTTAGTGACTGATCAGTGCAGTTCACCTGCGGATTTCGACTAATTCCCATTGCGGATTAATCATCGTGTTGTAAAAATAGCCCATCCAAATAAGCAGCCTGCAGATAATCGCAGCGCTTCGGCCCGACTTGGCAGCTGAACTTGAATCCCCTTCCTCGGGTGGATGCGCTTGTTTTGTCTCTTCGGTGACGGGCAGCTGGTCACGTTCGTCCGGACAGAGCGACAGATATAGCGCGCGAGCGAGCGAGAGAGGGAGAAAAGACAAGTGCAGTCCGGCCTCCTCCCCCTCGCCTATGTTCGACACGGGATGGCGGCGGCCAGGAGGTTGAACCCTCCGGCGAGCCGCTCTGGCAGAGGGAGACGTGGACCAACCGCAGCAGCAGCAGTCACCTCAACACCAAAGCTGGTGCTGAGCAATGGGGGTGTTCAGGTGCATACTAACTCGGATTCCAGAGAGACGAGCTGGGATTCTCAACACAGAGATGGGATTTGGCTTTCCAGCGACGAGAGTACGGGTAACACGGACGGTGCTGTGCGCGAGCACGGGGAAGAGGAGGTGTACGAGGCGGCTCCCAACGGAGAAGCGTTGCTCATCTGCGACGGCAATGAACTCAGCGCCTTGGTTGAGGAGGTCGCTGCTGACGACGCGGCAGGAGATGTCCCCTGGGAGCAGGTCCTGCAGGGTACGTGGCGCCGCGTTGTGTTCTCTTGCTTTGTTGGAAAGTTTGGCGCGTGCGTTAAGGTAGTCAAGCGATAGGGCGATCGGTATGCTCGGCCAGTTAGCGCGAAAGTGTTGGTAACTTTTGTTTGACTGTTTATTAGGGGCATGAAAGAAATGGCTTCTATACTCACGTCATGCTTGACAGCATTACTGAAAATAATTGTTAGGATGGCTAATGCGTTAGACTGTGACCAAATCACCCAAAATGTATCTGATCTTGTCCGATTTCAGAAGCGAGACAGGGTTGAGCCTGGGTAGTGCTTGATGTGTGATCACCAAATCCTCGAGACAGCTATAGTAGGCGTTGTGGACAGTAGAGGCCAGTGCAGTAAAATTCGTTGTTCCACCCCCCTACTTGAGCCCCCCCATTCGGCAATGGATAAACAATCGGGCTGGCTATATATGTGTCAAAGCAATGCTCGCACCAGCCGAGTATTACCGTGATTAGAGCACATAGGTCACAATTGGAAGATCATATTCAATGCATTTAGTACCAATTTGTGGGAAGTCAACGATGGTCATCCTATGGAGAGAATCGCCATCATTATAGGAATGTGACATTTCCTCCAAGTGCTTAATTCGATACACATATCATGTGTGTAAGAATCGATGAATGCGTCATGAACATTATAGGTGACTTTACTAGATTAACGGATGCATCGTAACACGCATAGGTAGGGGCAAGCACCACCATGCCAGCACATCTGTAGCAGAGATTAGTTTTGTCTGCAGACCTCAATACTCTGTGCCATACTGGGGTACAGCAATGTGCATTGCATGTTTTTATGTTGATGTGGCTGGGTTAGAGAAGAGATGGACTGATGGACATGCTGATGACTGGCACCAGTGGTGTCAAAATCGGCCTCTATGAAGGAGGCTCGTGAAGGATGCTCTTGGACAGTTGGAGGAAATCACCTTCCAATAACAGCAGACGGCAGAGAAGCAATGCTCAACAACGAATGGAGCGCCGGGCGGATGAAACGCAGTGAGGTGGTGGAGTGGGGAGCACAGTTAGTGCATCTGCCAGTTATCTCAGTCCGTCAACCCACAGCACCTGGGTCTGTCCCATGACCACCTTCTGCTAGCGAGCCTTATGCATTTCACATGGCCTCAAAGTACACCTAGCCTGGGACAAGCGCCGTGGTGACATTGCTGCTATTTAGTGGTGAAGGGTGGTTGTTGTTGGCTGGGCAGGGTGGGGCGTTGGGAGGGCCCACGCGTGTGTGATCGTGTACGTAGACCTGGCTGTTATGCTGTCACGCCGGTTTCCCTAGCGATCACAACACACATTTCAGATAATTAACCTGTCAACTAAGAGACCCTGCATTCATTCATCGGGCAACAGGTTGTTGGAAATATGCATGATACCATAAAATGTAAGGAGGGTTCTCACGCCATGCCACTTAAAAACTAGTAATCTCAGAAGTACTGTACAACTTCACGTGAGCTGATGTATTCATTTGCATCAACATGTTCAGAACTGGTCTATGAATCTGACCAGGCGACACTGTGATTATGATACTCGACTCACAGTGGTTATGGTTGCGAGTTCAAATCTTAGTTGCGAGTCGACTCGGTCAATACTCCTTCTGGGGTAAAATCTATAACACTTAATGTGAAGTAATCAATGTTTGTTCTATGGTGAGGATGGCCCCTGCCATGAGATTCTTCCACTGCTTCCAACCAACGTGAGTGCTAATCCCCCCCTTTGACTATTTATGTCTAAGTACTGTACAGATTCCAAAGAACACAGGATGAGATGTTATTATCCTTTGTGCAAGCACTTCCAAGAGTTCATGAACAGTGAGCCTGGTGAAATTTGGGGAGCGCATCGTCAGTAGTGAACCTTTGGGTCCTAGGGTGTTTCGGCCTTTCATACTATACACCCTCCCCAAAGGCGGCCAGCGACAGGGTGATCAATCCTACGCTTGCGTCCCATTCCCAATTAGTCATAGGAGTTGCCTTGTTGTTGATAGCCAACATCCCATGGGACTATGCATGGCAGGGGCGTCCTCATCCCTGAGTCAAGCATTGTTGACTGCATACCTCCTGGCCCTCTCACTTTGGGGCCCAGCTGGGGTCTTTCCTCTTCATCCAGAGCCACTGACTGCTGCCTTCTGCCGCCTCCGATACAGCTCTGATATGTACGCAAAGTTAGTCAATATAGGTTTGTATTAATTCCGTTTCTATAAATATGCTGCATGAAACTGAATCTAAAAATGCACATTGCAAATAAAAGTTAGTTTTGCCGAGCAAGGCATTGAGTGTTTTGAGTGATGCTGAAGAAAAATGGTGCACATTTCCTCCACGTGACTATTTTGCATTCTTCAAATGTTGCCCAACAGCCAATCTCAAACATTGCAACTGGGCCTCTGTCACTGAACATAGCTGCACATTACTGAACCATTAAACTAAATCCCGACCCACGTGTCTGATGTTTTGTAAAGTGGAGGGCCTTACTTCTCTCCTCTAGCGTCGGTGATCCAGCCTTGGGTGGCTGGCAGGGGATCTAGGCAAGGAAGCCTCCTGCTCAGCCTATGAATAAACACATTCAATGATAAACACAAGGCCGTATTTACCCAGAAAAGCCAATTCCCTTCATTGGGCACCAATTACATGTTTTGTTGTTGCTATGACTGACATACATCGACTCGGATGGCTTAACGTCTGATGAACTTTGTATTTTTTGAGAGATTAAATACGATGAGTTGTGACCTGCGTTAGTTATGACATCGGATTTGTTTATTGCAGCACCCTTTGCACTGACATGTATTACTCTGTCAGTTTACATACAACGTCACAGTTTTGCTGTTCTAAAAAAAAAACTCTCGTACAATGACAATGACTGATGCATGCAAAACACACTTCAAAAGTTATCATCATATTCACCAGCTCAGTTTGAGTTCATATTACGTGTGTGCCTCTATCCACTAGTGCTTCCTAGGTTTGCTTAGTGTTACAGTACTGTAATAGATGTTGACAAAACAACCACTCCACGTCAGTATCTTTCGGTCCAAAGGTCGTGTTCCACTCCTGGATTTTTGCGTCATTTTACAAAATACAGTGTTGTGCTTTTATGGTGCCTGGAAGAGTAACCGCATTCACGGTGGGAGGCTAATACCAGGTCGGTGTGCATGTGACATTGAACAGAGATTGAAGTCTTGAAGGTGATTGGCCAAGGCTTTAGCTGATGTGCGTGTTGGCTGAAGGGCTTTACGTTACAGCGACTTACATGTGCGCATGTGCCGCGTTGAGTTGAAGCGCATTAGCTTGGTACAGTGAGAGTGGCGAAGGTGGCATATCTGCAACTCACCACACTCTGTAAACACATAACGCTTGGATTTGTCTCGTCAAACCTGCGACTTCAAGGTGTACTTAGCTAGGATAGCAGCTGATTGTGCTGGTGTTGTTGCTGTGTTCTCTCCCACAGTGCTGTGTGCCGATAGGGTTGGGCAGATGACCAAGACCTACAGCGACATCGATGCTGTCACCCGTCTGCTGGAGGAGGTAATTGGGACATGCAACCCATTCTACAATATTTCTTGCTGGTTAAAACATGCGGTCTTTGGTAACCCAGCCGTGTTGCCCGACTGGTTTTTAACTTGGGCTGTAAATTAAACTGTTGCTTAATCAATATGGAATCTGTTCTCCAAACTCATCATCGTGTTTGAATGATGTATAATTCCTTGTAATATGAATAGTAGCATGTTAGGTCGGCAGTACAAAATACAAGTGTGGGTGGGTCGGTGCTCATCTCCATTTCCCATCTTATGCCAGTAGTGGAAATTGCGCATTCATATGGTGGGAGGTCAATCTCTTTATTAGACGACCACTGTTGACTTCCTACGAACTAATATTCACATCACTGTAAACTTCAGAGGAATGGTGGGATGAGTCGAGTGCTCTAACCTTGGTCCCATCCAGCAGGATAAAATCGTATTCGGCATCGTTAATTTATAACAGCCTTACAGGCATACATATTTTTTACACCTTATGGAAAAGGTCACGAGCAAGGAAGGAAGCCACCATGTTTCTGTAGCCCATTCGCAGGGCAGGCTTGGGCTACACAAGCAGTGCGTCATTACTGTTCCTCTCCTGCAGAAAGAGCGCGATGTGGAGTTGGCGGCACGCATTGGGCAGTCGCTGCTGCAAAAGATCAAGGTCCTGACGGACAGGAATGAAACCCTGGAAGAGCAGATCGGGCACGCCACGGAGGAGGTGATGTGCTCTGGCAGCACTGCTCGGGTGGCATGTGTTTGACTGCATGTTGTTGGGGGAGCAGTGGCACAGTGGTTAATTTCTCACTGCACTATTAACCCAATGACATGTTGATTCCTGGCTGTGGCTAACATCAGTTTCGAATAGATATCTGAACTATATTTAGGCCTCCCCTAAGTGGAATTGGCCTTAAATGAGTACCTGCTATGGTCTGTTAACATCAGAACTGGGGAGACAAAGGTGGCGTGGTATGTGTGGTGTTTTGCCACCCAAACCACTTGTGTGTCATTAACAGACTATAAACGAAGCCAGTGATCTTTGTTTTTGTACTTGTGTGTATGTGTGCCATTGTATGTGTGTATCTTTTTGATTGCATACATTTCTGCGTGTGTGATTGCGCATCATCTGTATAATTCCGTGTTTTGTGTACGTATGCGTGTGTCGTACAGGCAGCCCAGCTGAGGCATGATCTGGCCATGAAGGAGGAGCTGCTTCAAATCTACACGGGATCGTCCGATGAGAATGACAATGCACCCAAGTCATCGTCCCCATTACCGTGAGCCACTCAGAGCCACACAATGCGGGACTCGTTCCACCACCAGTATGATGCACGTTACAATCACCACTTATCACCCTTCTCTATTCAAACAGCTATCAGCTAATTATTTTAAGCATATAAAATTAGGTTTTTAGGTTAATGTCGCAAATTCGAGCTCTGAGCCCTTACATTTTTTGTGCTTGATTGCCATGCGACAAACACTTTTCAATGCAGATAAGGTGTCTACTGAAGTGACCTCAGAAGTAGTTCTATGATGTCATCTTCTTGAGATGTTCCCTCTTATGGAATTATATTACACTGAATTTTTATCCGTGTTTCAGCTGCCCATGATTATATTCTGTTCTCAAGTTCAGTGTCTCAGCCTGGTTTTGTATGGTTTCAACGCGGGCACCAATGAATGCATAATTAAAACCATCACATTGCATTTTCTTTTTCACATAGTTTGATATGGGCCTGGAACATTGTGTGTAACCTAGTTTATGAATGGCTGTAGCCCAAGTACGAAACCAGGATGTAAACGTTGCTGGTTCTTTTCTCTAATATGGGAATCATTACGAGCCACCGGAGCACTCGCTGCTGCTTGTGTTTAACACGGTCCCGGGGGGTGTTGTATTCACAGGGCGGTGAGCTCCCCATGTCCCACGTTTTCACTGGGGTCTAGCGGGCTGCACATGGACACAATCCACCGCAAACTGCGTGACCTCGAGGAGGAGAACATCTCACTGCGCTCAGAGGTAACATAGCACATGCCCCCGCTACCCCCCTCCTCTACCCCCCCCTCACGCTCACCGATACAGACCCCCATATCCGGACTTTGGAAGTCGAAGTCGAAGATGTCAACTGTACCACAGTCGGTTTCAACGACACACCCACCAAAACGCGCACCGTCTGTTACGATGTATTTTCTAGTTGTTTACAGATTTGATTTTTGCAGAACGGTTGTGGGATCTGTGCGAATTGAAGGAAAGCATAGCGAGCTGTAATACGCCTCGGGCGTTGACTCTGAAGGCCTTTTGTCCTGACCGTGAATGTTGCACCGTGTTCCCGGGCTTCGCAGTGAGGTGTCTGCCCGTGTGTTTTCCAGGCATCTCAGCTGCAGAATGAGACAATTGACTACGAGGAGAAGGAGGACCAGCTGGTGAACGACTGTGTCCGAGAGCTACGTACGTAACAACGAGCACATGGACGGGTGGGCGGGCATGTGTGTAGGTGTCGGTGCATGGCCTAGATTTACTTGAGCGTACCATGTTCACTCATATGTTACAAGTGAACGTCACAGCTTCTTTCTGCCCAAGCAAGTGCTTGGCAGCCCTGTGCCGTGATGAGGGCCAGTCTTTCCATAGTATGACCTTTGTTTATTACCACACAGTGGTAATATTTTTTAACAACCATGGAAGGATAATGGGAGTCGACCCCCACTATAGGATATTTACTCACATTAGATTAATTTATACATGTTTTTTTACATCTGCAAAACTGTAACCATCCGTCTGCCCTCTGGCTACCATTGGCTGAATTTATGTTTTTGAGCGTTGGAAATTGTTCATGTGTTTGGAAGTGACATTGCTGAAGCACTTAAAAAGATCATTGTGCTCTCTGAAAAAAACATCTTTGGCCTGGATTGAGTTAATGAAATGTGTTTAGTTTACTCTAAGGTAATGGTGGCAGCTATATTAATATTGCCGCAGCCTCGTTCACTGAATGCTTATTGCGTGAATGGGCGTCGCCCCTTTAGCATTTTTCACACACCCAGCTCAAAATAACTTTGGCTACTTTGCTGGATGTATAGCAAATAACACTGACGTGCACCACTCATACAAATTTTGAATGTGAGCGTTTGAGTGAACATCCCAAATCTCTTTGAAAAACCAGTGCAATGTGTCGGATTGCGCACACACACACACACAGCAGATATATATTACATACATCTGTTAAATTCCGAGATCCGGCAAATTTGACCAATCCATGCGATGCACAGTCGTGTTAACCGCAGCATGCCTGGACGTGTGTGCATGTTTTTAAATGTCGCTTGTCTCTCAGTGTACTCCCTGTGTTGTGATTGTATATTTTGCGCTTGTGTCTGCATGTTTCTCTTCGTTGTAATTTTATATTTATGCATGTCTTCGCATGTGTATTTTAACTGGATTACCTTGGGTGGGTGTGTCTGCTTACATCTGTGTGTCTACACATGTCTATGCCTGTACACGTTAAGGCACAAGTCTGCTTCTGCATTCTCTGAATGTGTGTCTTGCCATGTTATTGCGTGTCTTTGATTGTCTCTGAATACCGGTACAGGTCCACCTGTGTTATTGCATGTGTTTCTACCTGTGTTTCAGGCAGGGTGGTAAATTGATAATACTTGTATTTCACAGCAATGGGTTTGATTTTTTACTCCGGTTATTTATTATGTGGCGTTTGTATATTTTTCCCTGGTTCCGCATGGGTTTCCTCCCATAGTTAAAATAACCCCCATACAATGTAACTGGTCTAGGCCAAATATACCAATGCTGTAATATTACCGACACATTACTCAGTTGGGATTACACACAGTAACATTGCCCCCTACTGCGACAACTTGGCAAGACTCTCCTGAGAAAGAGTCTTGAGACTCAGTGAGGCTTTCCTGGGTAATCGAGTATAATAAAAAATAATATCTGTGCTCGTGTCCACGTGCGTGCAGGGGAGTCCAATTCCCAGGTGCTGACCCTGACAGAGGAGCTGGCGAGGAGGAGCGAGGACGCATCGCGGCAGCAAGAGGAGATTACGCATTTGCTGTCCCAGATTGTGGACCTGCAGAAGAAGGTCAAAACGGTGAGCAACTTGTCTGGGTTATAGGGGACTTTCCAGGAGAAAAAAACGTGGGGATTCTTTTTGATTTGTGTAGCAAATGCATGTAGCAAATGCATCTCAATGTTGTACAAAACAGTGGAATGTATTCAACGCGCCGAACAGGGAGGGATTTGTACACCACATATATCCTTTGGAGATAAGGCGGTCAGTCATTGGCATCGAAGAGTCTGCACTAGAATTGTGCAGACAGGGAATCAAGAGCACAGATTGCTGGGGGTGAGAGGATATTTTGGGGGGATGCATTTAAATGAACATGGCGGCCTGAGGAGTGGAAAGAGAGATGGCACAGGACAGGGCAGCATGGAGAAGGTTGGCAAGGACAGCGGATCCCACATGAGTGGGAAAAACACGTGGAAGAAGAAGATTGAAATGAATACGAGGAGATGACCCTTTCTAGCACTTTGTAAAGAAAAGGGAGGTTTGAGATGGGGAGGAACTGTACAGTTCCTGGTTGAATGATGAATGCACTTGATCCCTGACCCAGATTTTAACTCTTACCCATCCAATTGCGAGTTGTGCTCTGCTCTTCAACTGCAGTGGAGGCTGCGTCATGTGATACACGTCTAAGTGCCCTGGGTGAGTGCCTGGATCTCTGCGTGTTCCCGCAGTACACAGCTGACAACGAGGAACTCACCCAGCACCTCTCTGCTGCCAAGGATGCCCAACGACAGCTCACGGCTGAGGTGAGGGTCCTCATCAAAAACATAATCACCTGAACTTTCATCAGGAACTCTCGCGGCAAGCAGTTAATCATACTCTTAGGTTTTTTCGGTAAAGTCACGTGACTTTACCGAAAAAACCTAAGAGTATGAATCCTTGCAGTCACGAAAGCTTCAAATCCAAGCAGTTAATCACCTTTTGTCAGAGAGTGGTACCTGGAAGATGACATCACAATCCAATAGGTCTTTTATCCACAGTAGATAATACACTATTTTATGCTGTACAAAGAGTGGTCGTCACTTGGAAATTAATTTGAACTTTACTTCGTGCCCAGATGAAATATTACAAAATAAGTGATTGGGGTTTTCATGTAATTGTTGTAACATTTTCTAAGACCATCGACTCCCTATACCCTGGTTTCAGTCATGGGTGGCCCAAATGAAGTGTTCTGACACGGTATTAGCCTCTTGAGCTTCCCGGCTACCTCTGACATAGCCATCACGAGCCCCCTCACCCACCCATTCATCTGCCAGGCTTGGTTTATCAGCATTCTGATTTATTAACTTGTTTTTACCTACTCTCAATGACGTTGAGCATTTCCTTAGGCATTTGGCAGAGTGAGATTGTGGTTGTCTGCTCGTTTAAGCATGCATGCTTGATAACACAAGCGGGATTTGTAGTGATTTTCAAGAGATTATTATTTGGTTTTGTAAGGCTTCTGTAAACACTTGTATCGAGTTATGTAATTCACTGGCTGCTCAATTGCTCAAAGCGATTGGAAGGTTGGCGAGTTCACTTCATGTTCTGAGGTTGGCTCAGCGCATCATTCTGCTGAAGTTGATCATTTGAGTACCACTTTGTGAAACGTCATAAGTGGTAGGTCTATGGATACATTGGAAATGTTGAATTTCCAACAGTGGCCTAGGAGTGTAAACAAAGCTGAGCACTACCCAAGACACATTTGAGTGGGGAGACATTTTTACCTTTTTGGAATTTGACTTGAGCAGTTTCCAATTTACGGAATCTCACATTCACTTAACCATGTGTCATGGACCCTCACTCAAACAGAAATGAGCTCACTTTGTTCCATAAGCCTGTGTTAGATGTTGTGTATGTTTGTGCATTGCATTGTTAGCTTGCCGAGCTGCAGGTCAAGCTGGTGGAGTGCACTGGGATGCTGCACGAGGCCCAGGAGGACGCCAAGAATCTGCGCAATCAGACGGCGCCCTCCACCAATGCGCAACGCTGGCTGCACTCACACACGCACTTCCCCATGGTGAGCGCTAGCAGCTGGTCAGCTTGGCTGAGCGGCTTGAGAATGCCTAGTGGCTTAAGCTGGCTGGCCTCTTGGCATGGCGGCTTTGTCGTTGTTGAGATTGACGCCCTGGGGTGAATGTAGCCGTGTTGAGCGAACTTTGCTCTGTCTCCCCCTCCCATGGCCATGCTTCCCCCTTTAGGACTCGCTAGCGGCTGAGATTGAGGGCACTATGAGGAAGACGTTGAAGCTGGAGGATGGCGTGCCCAAGTACTGCATTCTTACTGCCATTACCACTGTGACAAACAGGCCAACGCACACACAGACGCATATCTCAAGTTCAGTTCCATTAGCTCTGGGGGCAAACGCTCTTAGTGAGCATGTGTTAAGGCGGAACCAATAAATAAGGAGGTGGTGTGATGCGGCCAATGCCACACCCGGCCGCTGACATTTATCGACCACACCAAGGAATTGTTTAGGCTGGGTTGGCTCAGAAGAAGCCCAGGGAAGGTTTATTTCCTTACTGAATCAAATTCCGGTAACCAGTTGCGTTATAAATTATACGAGCCACTTTATCACCGCTTGAGCGCACACCTATGTATGTAACACACTCGCACACATAAAAACACGAAGATAAACAAAGAACAGGTTTCTCTGATAAAATGAGTATTAGAGCAATGCCCATTTCTCTTAACTCATAATTCCTAATCGTTAATTTTTTTCTAATTCATTAATAAAAGAATTACCTTTTTTGGCAAGTCCATGGTGATTATTTTACAGTGACTGTCTCTACCATAGGAATATAGCATATCCAACCACTGTAGATGAGCACTGCCCCACTCTCCCTCATCTGAGCAGGATACAATGTGATCTTTTGCCCCGACCCTATTGCTATTGGCGTTGTCCATCTCCTTGCGGCGCGACGTGTGAGTGACTGCCGCTGGCGCGTGTGTTGGCAGGGCCTACCAGCGGCGAGTGTTTGAGACGGTGCGCACGGCGAATCAGGCGACGGCGTCGAAGCGCGCGTCCATCTCCTCCTGTCTCTCGCCGTTGCCCATCCCGGGCTCGAATCAGGGCTCGGTGGTGTCGTCGCGCCTGAGCTCGCCCCGCGCCTCCAGGAGGCAGAGCGCCGCCGGGTCGCCACGCTCCGGCCTCCTCATGACGGACGGGACGAGCGTGTCCCCCGAGTTGCGCTCGCACGGCCTCATCGATACCACCGAGTTTGGACCAGTGCACACGTGAGTCGTCAAATATTAGTGTTGTTGGATATTCGTGCTGTGAGTGGTCAGATACTAGTGCTGTGAGTAGTCGGATTTTAGTGCTGCGAGTTGTTGATTATTTGTAACATGCCCTGAGTCTGTTAGACATATTGGCATCACAAGTATTTTTCTAAAAGGGTCATTTTTTCCTGGGCCTCACACAAAAAAGGGCCCCACAATGGGCCTATTTATTCGTTTCAAACAAATAAGGGGGGCCCCCACGTCTCATTCTGCCCTGGGCCTCTAGCTCTGCGCTTTCAGGAACCTCTGGGCAGCCTTGCCTTCACACTGACCCTCTATCTCATTTCTCTGCCTTGCTTCCCTGAAACCTATCATTGCTCAATACCATACCTCGACTCATCCAAACCACCTGACCTCTTCGCCCTATCTCCTTGCGGCAGCGATGAGAAGCGCCCGGGCCAGCCTGGCACTCCCGGTTCACACGACCTGGAGGCCGCGCTGCGCCGGTTGTCGCTGCGGCGCGAGGCTCACTTAGGTGAGAGGCGCTTCATGGAGGAGGAGTGGGAGCAGCAGTTGTCAGAGCTTGCGAGCGGCCAGCCCAGTCGGCCGGCCACGCCACCGGGCAGCGAGGGCTGCCTGTCGGATGGCGAGCGAACGCCCGGTGGATCGTCCTCCGAGGACTCGCACTCCTCAATGTCACTCGCCTTCCGCTCATACCTGCCTGAGAAGTTGCAGATCGTCAAGCCCCTCGAAGGTTCGTGCTGCGTTCAAAAGGATCGAGTCACAGTCAAAGAGTCCTCTGTACTGGAGTTGGCCGAGTTGGGTGGATCATGTCGCTTGTACTCTAAATTCTGTGTTGGGGAAGTGAACTGGCACCGTTGAGGCCCTACATTTTAAAATTCGAATCGGGGTTTTAGCCACCTGTGATTAAATCGGGTTCTTGAGCAAATGTTTGAGGTTGCACTCGTGTTCATTGATTCGTTTAACAATAACTGCGCAAAAAAACTGTTATAAAAACGTATTATTTCGCCCCCCCCCCCCCCCCCCGCTTGGGCACGTGAGACATTCAACATGCTTGTATATCTGCCACTGTAAGTGCCTTTCTAAGAGTGGCCAGCAGGGGGCAGGATTACCTTTATATCTGACATGAGCCCTTCCAGACTTTTCAGAAATCTGAATTATCCACAGTACCAGTTGATTAAGAATGTCAAGTTTCTCTTGTATATATGAGCTGTAGGGATGCAGTTTTTAGTGAGTGGCATGCAAAAGCCACTGTCATTGGTGTGGATTAAGAGTTATACTCAATTAACTTTAGATGTGATGGCATCTTTAGCTTATGTTCTCTGGCTCAAGGTGGTGCACTGTTTGCTTCCTCTACTGGCATGATGCCAATTCGATACATACTACCACTTATGATGATGATGCACATTGTGGTCACGATGGTAGCGCAGTAGGCGGTCCCACTCTCCACACACACACATGTTAACACTCTTCCCCATGAAATTACTTTGGGGAAGGGCAGGTTGTGATGTGACAGGATCGGTATCTGGCTCAGGTTTGGCAATTTCTAAGATGATTTCAAAACTCAATGAGCACTTGTAGCACAAAGCCATGCCTTTCACGCCAGCCCAGCTTGCACCAATCACTTTCCATCAGCCAAAAGTTGCAGGCCTCCTATTATCCAAACGTTTTCACACCGGTCATTTATGCAGAGTTTTTAAACAATGTGAGATTTATAAAATAAATATATATAAAATCCCCCTTCTACCGTTGGACATTTGTAGTGCTTACTTACACCTCACTGCCCCATTCCCCCCAGCGTGCCTTCACCCACCTGGGCTACACCTAAAATAACCACCGTCCTATTTGTGTAAGGTGCGGTGTGCGGGTGATGTTTTAGGTGCAGTTGGCACGTGAAACATTATCCTTATTTGTTTAAAATTTTAAAAGCATGGCGTTTTTTATTGTACCCATTGGTATCGTATTATATGTAGGGACAATTGCCTCTGGGAAATGTAATACAAGTCTTTGGCTTCGGTTACGTTCTTGTAAATATTTGAGTTTACCCCTCTTGTTCATTGTAGCCGTTGCTATTAAGTAGTAAAACTTTGGGCAGGGCAGATTGTGATGTTTATATTATGTTTCTTGTTCAGAATAGCGACATCCATTGATGCTTAACATGCTTATTATGGTGGTATGTATCTGAGTGCACATGTAGGTGTGTGTTGTATTGGGGAGTAGTAGCATAGTGGGGAGTGGTAGTGTAGTGGTTAGCACACCGCTCTACGAACTCGGCGACCCAAGTTTGGTTCCCACTCACAACCAACATCAATGACATATCTGTACCGGTCCTGGGCCTCCTCTAGGTCTACTTATCCTTAAACTAGTACCTGATGCAGTGTCTAAACATCAGCACTGGGGAGACAAAGGTGGCTGGACGTGGTGTTGGCCACCCACTCCCTCGTGTGTTATGCCGGCCTTTGTAGATCCTACTCGTGAACATCACTTGCCCCATCCGTTTGTTAAAGGTTACATGTGGGATCTTTGTCTTTGTGTGCCATTGGTGGTGACTGCAGGATCAGCAACGCTGCAGCATTGGCAGCAGCTGGCGCGGCCACACCTGGGCGGGATACTGGACACTCGCCCGGGCGTCATCGTCAAAGACTCCCAGCTACTGGAGCTAGTCCACCCCAGCAGTTCGGCTGTGTTCCGCATCACCGACTATGAGGAGGACGAACCAGGTCCCTGCTTTGCCTCCTGCCCCTCCCCACCACCTCAGGGCCAATAGGATGAGCACCACATTGCAGGAATTCAGGATTGGTCATCCTATGGATAGGCTGGCCCTTATCACAGCACAATGGCATTAATGGCCGCCCATACTGATTTATAGCCATGGTCCAAGATGATTTCCACCCTTTCGTTTTATGACTGCACCCGACGGGAATTTACCTATTGCCAAAAAAACTGTTGTTCACCTCTTCTGTAGCCCTTGCGCATGGTGTCCCTTAGCTGGTTCCAGTAGAGCCCTTCATTTTTTGTGACACCTCACATACTTTTGTTGTTGTTATTGTGTGCGTGTGTGCATGTAAATGGTCTTCATTTTGTTGTTTTTGCTTTTTTTTACATGTGTAACTCACCAACTCACCCAACCACAAACTCATTCATTTGCTTACTCGCTCACTCACTCACTTCCTTGTCAACCTAAACACCCACCCACACACTCACACACAGATGGAAAGCCAGGTCTCGGAGATGCACAGAGGGCAGAAGCTGCTAGTGGTCACCCTGACTCCATGCACAACTGTGCTGCAGAGACAGAGGATGGTAGCTCAGGTATACTTCTCATCCCACAAGGCTCCCTGCTCCCGGCCTCACCTCTATCCTTGCTGACGGCTCTCAAACTAAAGTCTTTGTGCCTCTCTATTTATCACCGTTTAAAACGCCGTATCTGTTTATTACGAGACTTAGGCTATTGTCTATAACCATAGAAATGTAGAATTTTGGTCCGGAGTGATGGTTTTTGGTTGATGAACATACATGTTTTATTTTGCCACAGTGGCAAGATGTTAACTCTCTCGCTTGGTATACAGTAGGTCATGCGTTTGATCCTGACCCTGACACCTGTATATTTGGAGTTTGCATGTTTTCCCTGTGGTCGCGTGGATTTTTCTCCAGGTCCTCCGGTTTTTCCCTCCACATTTAGAAACCTGCACTTAGAGTATTTGGCTGATATACATTTCCACATGATAAGCCACTTTGTTCAGCTACCATTTGTGGCTAGGTCACTACTTAAAAGGAGCTATATAGCTCAGTGGGCCTTACCTAGTAAAATAAAAATGTTTTAGTTTAGTTTTATTTTAGGCCTGAAACATGATTTAATTGTGTTTTTAGTTCTCAATTTATGGTGGTTTTTTTCTGCGTCTTGAATGTGAGAATTGTGGCAAACTTCGAAACGTTAACATTGGGAAAGTGCAATTACTGGGATGACTGAGTTGAATAACAAATGTTGTTTTCACTTTGTGGGAAGTCATAAACGGTTCTTAGGTAGATAGACTGTCTGCGGCCTTGGGAATGTGGAATTTCCACCACAAGCACAGTAGGTGTCACGAATGGAGATGACCACATCCCTCTCCATATTGATGTGAACAGGAGAAGAGAAACAATTTAACTTTTATTGGTTTTATTTTCATGTACTAACGTCTCAATTATGCCTTTCCTGCATATGTTTGCTCACTCTACAGTTCACTACCCGGGCAAGTGTTTGGTACAGACCAACTTCACGTGCACTTACACCACGTGCCGCATCATGCACCCGTCTGACGAGCCAGCCTCCGGCACACTGCCCAGGTCAGTGCCATAAACCACCACGGTCAGCACCATCATTCACACTGCTGCCACACTCACCATCAAGGGTCCCATGAGCTCATGGTGACATATTCATGGTGACGGAGCTGTTGGCTCGTATTTATTTAGCCCTGCTAAACCGCAAGGATGTTGTACGCTGCATTCAGTATGCTGAACGTAGCGAGCAAGCTCGAAGGTGAGCACTGTTGAACGTTTTGCATGTGTTGGGTTTTAATTATATTTGTGTATTTAAATACACTGGAGGACACTGATGCATTTCATTTGCAAGAAATGCAATCTCATAGTGGATATTTGGTTCCTGTTAATCATGTAAAGACGGTGGTTGCCCTATGAAGAGACTGGCCCCCACTATAGAAACGTGACATTTCCACGACTGACTCAGGGTTGTTAAATGTAGTTTGGTGCCACCCCATGCTCGTTTTGAGTTTGTAATCACGTTAACCTTAAATTGATTAGTGGAAGTCAACATTTCCCAACCAGTGCTCTTTCCGAGCCCTGGCCAGATCCTGTAGAAATAGGCAAAACATCAACAAATAAAATATTAACAATTTTTGTGATGCTTGATGCAGGTGGAGTTTCCATGTGCTGATTTCCTCCGGAATAAGAAAAGAAAAGAACAAACTTCCATAAAAACAATTGTAAACTTCTGGTGGACTGTGAGACGTGAATTTCAAACGCGCTGCGGTGTGCGTAACTGTGCGCAGGTGTGATGATGGGGCCTGCGGTGAGGAGAAATCAACACAGCCCCAGACAGAGTTGCTAATAGAAGATTAGGCTGGGTCTGCAGAGAGTAAGGATCCGCAGCATGCTGTGGCGTGCATGAGGTCTTGCGTGATGCTGCTGCTCTGCTTGAATTTGCGTCTGTTCAAAGCCTTGGATATGAACTTTAGCAACATGGCCAAAACAAACAAACTCCCTACAAGCTGCTGTACAGTTGTCTTATGAGGTAAACATGATTTATACCATGCAGGACTGTTAAAAAGATATGACAACTAACTGCTCATAATGCAAACTCACAAAGACCTTATGCAAGCCCAGCCGTAGATAAGACTGCTTGTATGAGGAATGTGTATGTGGAAATGTGGTGCCTGCGTGTTCGTGAACATTATTTCAATTGTGTCGAGGATCACGAATTGTAATCCCAACAAATCTATTTAAAATGTCCCGCAGGGCTCATGAGCATTGGCATATTCAAAGGTCCTTAAGCAGAGGGCAGGCAGACACTCAAGTGTAACCCCAGGTCATTTTGGTGTGATTGGTAACTTACCCTGACATCTTGTTGAGTGGCACTGGTTAGAGCACTCAACTTACAATTGGAAATACTGAAAATGCTGGTCAGGGATCAATGAAGCTATCATCCCTCAGGTGTTGATAAAATAAGTACAACCTTTTTGGGAAGAAAACAGTGTTTTCCCAAAAAGGCTAACCCCCCACAATGGAAATGTGGAATTTCAAACACTGGTTCAGGGCCGCTATTAGAGATGATTGGCCCCATTGTTAATTTTGGCTAGGACTCACTTGACTTTTGACTCGCACTCTCCACTTATGTATATGCCATTGCTCACAGCAATTATCTGAATCGACACGAACACCCCCAAATCCACTGCTATACCCCCTTACGAACTTACAATGTTTAATCGTCTGAAATCAGAAGCTTTGTTTTGCCTGATTTTTCTGCAGTCTGCTGAGCGACAGGCATGCCAGAGTATTGACCGCCTCCCTGCAACAGCAAATCTCACACGCAGACTTGTGACTAACCCCATTCGTTCGATCATCCCAAACTACCCTCTCCACTAACATGGCTACAACGAGTGTTTCCTGATGCTCGCTGTAATCCCATCGGCGGTTTGTGTTGCCAGGAACCTCTGCTCCGTGGAGTGCAGGCTTGAGTCTTGGCTACCCCTTGACATTCTGACTGCCTCCCTCCCAGTCTGGCTGCAATTTGCAGACCCCAGGAAAAATCGAGCAGCATTCCAGAACCTTAGCACTTATAATTGGGCCAAACATTATTCATGTTGTGGTGTAGCATGATGGTTGTGGCTGGGAATGAGAAAAAAAAGTTGGCATAGTCAGTACTCATTGAGATTGGCTCGTTGAGATTTGCATGTCATTTGGAGGTATCAAATCACACTCGTTAGGGAATGCTGCTCGCAATGTAGTGTTGTCCTTCCAACATCACAGGCTGGGTGGTGAACTGACTCTACAACCCCTAAACAACACAGTAATCCAGGGTGGTGGCTTCGTGATCCACGGTGATGGCTTTATCGATTAACCCTTTCCTGTCAAACGAGTGTGGTGTGAGCACTCCTCTGACATGCCCTGTGTGTTTCTTAACTCCAGCTTCTGCGGCATATCCACCACGTGCTCTTCGGACACCGCCATCTCCTCCTCGTGTCCCACTCGCCAGCCCAGCTTCATTGAGTCCTTCACCAATGCTCGAGAGTCAACGAAAACCTGCAGCGTGGCGTTGGGACTGGCGCATCTCCTGTGCGAGAGGGGCATCTCGGCCCACCCGCCCATGACCCAGTCTTTCCCGGCCGTCGGCAGGCCGTGCAGCCTGGCCGTGCCGTCCACTCCCGTTAACGCGAAATTCAGCCGCTCGCCAATTTACCCGCTCTCCCCCATTCCCTTCCCAGCCCTGGGGAAGCAAATCGAGATCTTCCTGGCTTCCAAGCCGGCCACCTCCATGCTCAAGGAGATGATGGGCCACCGAAGGCGGACGAGTGAGAACAGGCGGAGAAAGAAGCCAGAGCTCAGCCCCCCTAGTTCCACTCTGATGGAGCGGCTCAGGAGGATGGGATTCAGCCCCGTGTTGAGCAGCAGCAGTGGCTCTTCCACCTCGCCGTTCTACCAGGTGCTGCCCAGCGCTAGCGGGGAGTGCAGCGGAAATGGGCAGCACTCAGCGGGTTTGGGCGACAGCGCCTGTGAAGCGAGGCCCAGTTTCGTGCTTGGGACGGACGATGAGGAGGAGGAGGAGCCGGCATTCCCCGGGCTCGATGCGCGGGGGCACGACAACACCCGCGGTTTAGCGTGCGTGCTGGAACCGCCGGTGGGTGGACCCGGTTCCCCGCAGAGTGCCACCGGGGACTCGCCATCCATGGCTATGCTAGCAGGACACCTCGATGAAGTTGGCGAGCCCCCGACACTGGTGGTCACGGCTCCCGGCCACAGTGTGGAAATGGGGAGACGAAAATTTCGGCAGAGCGCGGTGGGAGAGACACTTGAACAGCGCGATCCTTGTGACGTGCCAAGCACTGGAAAACTGTAAACCGGATGCACGCGGGTCATTTTTAATTATGAGACAACACGTACGCATTTACATTTCAAGATGTACTAATGTATGTGTTTTTTGTGTGTGCGTGCCCTACTGTATAATACTGTAATGCGACATGGCGTCGGGGGAAGCTGGGTTTTTTTGTTTCGAGTAAGCTGTGCGTGTTGTGCATCACTGTATTTTACATATCTTTTTGAAATTGCACTTCACGTCCGTTGTAAACCACTCTTTGGTGTGTTCCTGAGTTGCACGCACGCCCTTGAAAGAGTAACCTCATCTGAAGTTGTATACCACGATGACTCATCACGAATGCGTACGTGTCCGGCCTTGGCTGCTTGTGACCTTTTGACGATGCCAAATGCGTTTCACTACTGACATCAGGGTTGGTTGTCTTTAAACACAGCTGTGTTAACGTCTATATATATAAAAAAAAACTGTAAGGTGGCACGTGCTGTGGTAATTGTCAAAACAGTAATAAGTATTATTTGCACTTGCTATACTTTGTTTTTAAGTACTTGAATGTAATGTACTTGTAGCTATGCAGGGGTATTAGTGCAACTTGTATATAAGGAGCGAATGAGAGGGTTGTAAGATGCAGGTGAATGCGTTAGGGGTTGTCCGAGTCTCTGGCCTCATATCAGTGGGCTTGCAGGACCACCGCTATAGAATATTGGCCGTGGACCTTTTGATCACTTCTCATAACGTGGCCTGCTGGCCTTTGTATGAATTAGAATAATAAATATAATTTGAAGCAGAGCAGAGAAAATGCACTAAACTGCTTCTCCTTTTCACTTGCAGTCACGTTGGAGATTTGGCAATGACGTTTACAAGAATACAACCACAGACTTAGCAGGTAGAAATCTGTGGCAATGGTGACACCATTTACCCAACAATTTTGTTCATATTTGTAATAATTCATGTTTTGAGATAGGTGGCTTCTTAAGGAAATAATTCAGATGAAATCCTCCATAATACACCGATTAACTCCTTGCAGTCACCTTCACTGGGTGAAAGACATTTTAATGTAAAATTTGCTCCGAAATACTGGTCCATATTTTCATCACTAGGCCTTGTATTCTGTAGATTTCTGCTTTTTAATATATTTTTTATTTTAACAGGAAAGACCCACTGAGCTATTTATCTCTTTTTCAGAAGCAACCTGGCCACAAATGATAGCTTAACAAAGTGGCTTATCATGTGGAAATGTATAGCAGCCAAATGTGGAGGTAAAAACCGGAGGACCCGGAGAAACGTCCACGCGCCCATGGGGAGAGCATGCAAACTCCAAATATACTGGCATCGGGATAGAACCCACGACCCCCTGTATACTAGGCGATCAGATAACATCTCACCACCGCTGCTACGTACAAGGCCCATAATTTGTGAGCTCCTCAACATTGTGATGCTCGAGACATTTATTGGCAGTCTGTAGTTAGGAATGGCTCACCGGTGAGCCCTTTACGTCAGTCCAAGTATCCTCCTGCTCCAGATAACAATGAAGCAGTGGATATCTCTGCTGGCAGCCCCAGAACCAGTGGTATTCTATCTTTGCAGAGTGGGGGGGGGGGGGGGCGTTCTCATGATAGGTTGAACACTTTTGACTTCCCACAAAGTGGTAAAAAATGTATTGATGCTCAAGGAATTATTTTATTGGTGCTGGAGCCAGAGCCAAATCCGAACTACGATTTTAACTCGCAACCTTCTGAGTCCAGCTATCTAAGCATAGCATCGGACATCTCTGCGAGAACTTGTATAGCAATCTGGGATCTCCTTTGCAATCGGAAACAAGGCATGGCTTAACAATAAGGCTCTTAGGGTGATGCATATTCGAATGCCCTTGCTGTGGATTCCCTCATGTCTCGATTGAAGGCCTGTTAGCGGAGTAAATTTCCCTTCAGGAAGAAATACATCATTTAGATAATCGACACAGCATGAACATAACTCGTTGCCATTTGGTATATGAACACTTGCATCAGTTTAATACCTTCATTTATCTCAATGCTGTCACCGGTTTCTACGGAGTCTACTGCGGACTCGTGAGGTTTTATTCTGAGATGTTTGAATTGGGCACAAACAAGTGCCGTATTTATTTTATAAGATCAATTATTTTTTTCCACGTAATAAAAGGTATCAACCTTGCAGAGAGGGCGTGCTGTCGCTTTGTGCGGTTTTTGTTGTGATGATTCTTTTTCTACAATTGATCTTCACATTTTTGAAATGCATCACCAGTTGCATCCTAGTTCAGACATTCATGAGCCTCATTTTTAAGAATTGGCCTGCAAGATATCACAAACTACCATCAGAGTGCTGCCTAAATAAGACTTAATTTTCCAGCCCTATATCATTGCTTATTTCTGCTCTGTAAAGTGGTTTGCAGCACGTGCATCATACAACATTGTTTTTAGTTCTTGAAACTGAGGAAGGCTAAATTAAGCGAATCACTCTAAATATACTGTATCTTCCAACTGTATATTTGTGTTAGTGACTGGGCTGAGACCAGCCACTCACCACTTGAGAACCTGGTCTAATAACAGGTGGCTGAAATCATCATTAGACCTCCTTTGCCAGTACCAAAATAAAATAATAGGGTTTTCCCCCTTTTTTGGCAACAAAACTGAAACCTTTTTACAATGATTCATATCTGCATTAACCACAATACTTGCAGTCAAAATGCAAACAAAAAACACACTATAATAACATATGCATTGTACTTGAAACTGATTGGTCCACACCAAGGGACGGCTTTCTTTTGAGCCTCGACCCAATTGGTGCTTGACTGCAAGTATTGTGGTTAATGCAGACATGAATCCTCGTAAAAAGGTTTAAGTTTTGTTGCCAAAAGGGGGGGAAACCCCTATTATTATAGGTGGCTGAAACTTGAGGTACTAAATGTCTACATGGATAGGATCATGAACCCATTTGTCAGCCTCCAAAGTACTCTTAGGTTTTTTCGGAAAAGTCACGTAGGTAAAAAATAATAAAATAAAATAATAATAAATCACGACGTTTCGAGGGCAACACAAGTCTCCGTCTTCAGGTGGGACCGTCACAGCTAAATTTACTGTATCAAGTGAAGGGAAATCCAAAGGACAAGATCTTAAATACTGGTTTCAGGGGAGGGGGAGGGGCGTATCTAAATGTGGCAGAGGGTGGGGGGGGGGCTATATTGGAAGAACGCACCAACACTTCCAGCTGAGCCCCCTCAATGTTTTCTCGCAGCAGGACTCGACTGACGTTGACAGTGCTCAATAAATGGCCTATGCTGTGTGGCCCAGCTCAGGTATGGCAAACTAAAACCTAAAATAAATTAAATCACCACGCTTCGATTGCAACACAAGAAATCATCATCAGGTGGGAAAACCACAGCGAAAAAATGTTTTGCTGAAGTGGGAGAGAGAGTTGCCATGGTAAGAGGTTATATAGGTACGAAAGGGGGAGGAGCAAGGGGGGAGAGGGAGGTAAAACCCTAACTGCTTTGTAGTGTTTGTCTATCATCTGCCGGGTACTACTACACCACGCAGCGCTCGCCTTCCCCCTACCCCACACCCCCACCCCTCCCTCTCCCCCCTTGCTCCTCCCCCTTTCTTACATATTATACCTCTTACCACAGCAATTCTCTCTCCCACTTCAAAAAAAAATCTTGCTGTGGATTTCCCACTTGATGATGATTGCTTGTGTTGCAGTCGAAACGTCGTGATTTTATTTATTTTATACCTACGTGACTTTACCGAAAGAACCAAAGAGTATGGATCCCTGCAGTCACGAAAACTTCAAATCTCGATTAAACTAAGACCTATTTCACATCGTACAATGTGTTGCCATTGATAAATAAAAATACAATTGATCCCTTGGCGATCGGTGAACATGGCAGTGAAAAGATGGAAAGGCGCCATAGATAGGTTCAGGGAGCTTGGACTTTGCGATGGCTAATAAGGAAAGGGATGTGAATATACAATTTAAAGCAGCAAAGGCAGGAAATTATTTACTGACTGGAGAGAAATTCTAATTTGCAGAAGCAGATGAAAGGAAGAGTGCAAGACATAATTATTTTTTATAGTCAAATTTAGTGGCAAGAGTTTTAAGAATATAGGTTGGGAACCTATGAACTAAACGAGCTAAACTAATTTTATTTATTTTATTTTACCAGGTAAGGCCGATAGCTATATAGTTATTTTTCAAAAGCGACCAGGACACAAATGATATCTCAACGAAGTGGCTTATGTGGAAATATTTCGCAGCCAAATACTAAAAACGCACATTTCTAAATGTGGAAGGAAAAACCGGAGGACCCTGAGAAAAATCCACGCGACCACGAGGAGAGAGAAATGCAAACTCCGAATGTACAGGCGTCGGGGTCAGGATCGAACCCACGACCTCTCGTATTCCAGGCGAGGTAGTAAACATCTCGCCACAGCGGCGCCCCGTGAAGGATGACAACATCGGAGACCAGTGAGAGGAGGAAATCTTCGAGGTTCGGCGAAGCTGCTTTAGCCGTGCTTTTGAACAGGGAGGAGCCACAACTTTTCGAGGCATTACTGCAGAACAAATCTGGAATGAAATGTGAAAATGTGGTTATTACTGAAGAGCTGGAGTGAGAAGCAATCTTAGCAGAGATATGAAGAGCAGTCGTGCTGGAAAGGATTAGGGTTTGTTTCATGACAACCAGTGGACCGTGCATGTAGCTTTGCAAAGTCCGGAACCGCTAACCGTTTCCAGTGGAATTCAGGTAATGAGTACCATGATGGTGCAAACGTGCACACACCGCGTGATAGATTTGCCCTCGTGTTCTAGTTCAAAAAAGAAAAGGTAAAGGTGCAGCCCTGCAAATGCTTGCTCATGCCACTGCAAGGGCAAAGCCCGATACTGGAGGGAGCGCTAGAGAATATTTGGTCTACTCTTCCATGGTGGATGGCAAATCCAGGGTGAAATATCACCACAGCATCTCCCTTCGTTCCTTCGTTAAAGAGGTAGACGCGCTGTGTTCATTGCTCCAGACATTCTATATTTGCGGCAAAACCGGTAACTAATAAAAAAAATACATCGGTTACCGCTAGTGGAAACAACAACCGATTTTAGCAACCCTAGTTGGGGTGCGGGGGGGGGGTGTTGCGGTACTGCCAAGTGATGTTGCTAACAGGGAGTCGGCAACCAAAATAACAAAAAGGGCCATTTATGGGGAGGAATTCGGTAAAAAAAAACAACAACAACCCTCAATATTTCAAGAGCCGCAATGCCCGTGCATTCCAGACGGTGGTCCTTTGTGAATAACGTCACGAAGCAGTCCTCAAAGAGCCGCATGCGCCTCTGGTGCTGCAGGTTGCCTGACCCCTGCTATACCATCTTCAGCAATTGTTTCTTGCTGTGGTTGTCCCACCTGATGACGGACACGCTTGTGTTGCGCCCGAAACGTCGTGGTTTAATTCATTTTATTTTATATCTACGTGACTTTACCGAAAGAACCAAAGAGTATATGGATCCCTGCAGTCACGAAAACTACACATCTAGATTATAACATGGCACTTGCTTCACTGGCCACCTGGGGGCGGAATAGCAGCACGCGGCCAGAAGGCCCATGGGCTAGTAAATGTTTGAGCTTGGCTTGATGTGAATTTCTTAATTATATTTCAACAAAAATGATGTTGAAATTATGTTATTTTTTTTTACTTTATCTAAAATATAAAAGACGTCTTCGTGCTCAAAGAACATCGGGACAATATTGAGTTCCATCCATCGATGAGTGTCAGCTCCAGCCTTGGAGGTTGATGATCAATGTGTGCCAGCACTTCTCTGCACCAGCTTTCACGATGTTCCCCGTGCTGAGCTGGGCCTAATTCTTAATGTCATCCCACCACTGGGTTGGTAAAATATACATATTCCCATGGCCAGGACCAATCTTTGCATAGGATGACCATGGTTGACTTACTTATTTTAGTGTTCCTTAATAGGATGATGTACGGAGTCAACCAGCGCATGAACTCGCCAACATGAACTTGTAACCTTACAATACTGCATCGAACACTGCCTCTGCAGCACCACGCAGCTGGGTGTCTTCATCGTATCAGCGTATTGCGTGTTAATTTGTCTTCAAGAGAGTCTGACTGTATGTGGTCAAGGATAGAATATTCTTATTTTCTCAGGATGTATGAATTGCTTGCTATAGAAAAAATAAAATGACACTTTCCCATACTTGTCTCTCCACAATAAAAAGAAAGAAATAGTACATTTTACACGACCCATAATCCAACGGTTCTGAATTCCTCTCATAAAGAATGGAAAATTTGCATAGCAATCACGTGAAACAAATACAGAATAAAACTAGAAGCCTGCTTCAAAATATGAAATCAAGATCAAAATACACACAAGATATCACCATTCTGATGTGAATAATAATGACGGATAGGGAAACTATGCATTTAAATCAATTCAAGTAAGAAAATTATGTTGATTATTATATAATGTACATGTTGTAATTTTGCTACTCGACGCTGTGTAATGGCATGTAGTGACACTTGGTTGCTAATATATTTATCTAACAAGAACAAGCTACTTTATACTTGTACACCTTTAATTTGAATAAATGTTATTTATAAAACACATGAAATCACCTTACACTGTGTGGACACGTGTGTGAGTCCAATTTCATTGCAATTTGTTAATGATGTTGGCCAGACGGCCTCATGTCCCTCTCTCTCTCTGCGTCGTTCTGTGGCACAGATCTGACATCTCTTCCACTCTTACCGTCCCGGGAGCAAAGCAGCTCAGTCTAGTGATGCCCGACTATTCTTCTACTGCTGCCAGGATTAGGCGCATTTGGCCAAACACCGACACGGATCTTGTTGTAATTTTTTTCGACAGTTTTATTTCTTTCCACATTCGCCCGTTGAGTTCTGTTGACATTTAATGCCCAGTGTTAGCTAGGCGTTCCCTGTTGTGGATGGAACCACCCGGGATAGTTTACGGCAATAAAATGCACAACTTGGGATTCTGAGGAATTTTGCATTCAAATTAAGCTTCCTAAATAGGCCAACACCGTCATTATTAACATTGCCTGACAAAATAAACATACAACGTACGTTTTTTGGACAATGCCCCTTTAGAGCAGGGACAGAGGACAGCCAAAATATTTTAATGACTTAAAA